AATCTGATACTCACAGGACAGATTGAGGGAAAGACAGACAGATGAAAACAGCGCGTAACTTGGCACAGTGGATAAAGGCGTTAGTTAGATCCAGTGACAGGACCCAAAGAGTGTGAGTTCAATACTTGGTTAAGGCAGTAGAGAACTTGGAGAGGGAAATTAACAGGAGATAACTGACATTCATTAAAAAACATGGCATGTGGAACTAGAACAGTCTACCCCAGTGAGAAAAATAAAGGGTTCAGTTCGGCATTCCAACCACCTGAAGAAGTCCTGAACGTACAACGGCTGAAACTTTGTAATAAATATGGCGACAAAGATGAGGACAATAGTTCGAATAATGTAAATAGTGTACATAATACCTTATCTCAGAAATATAGATAGATTCTGAACGACCAAAAGGATGTAATAAATACTGCGACAAAGATGAGAAAATAGTCCGAATAATGTAAATAATGTACATAATACCTCATCACAGAAATATAGACAGATAGTTGATAGTCTTAAGTAAATGGATGACGAAACAGCCTTGGGAGAAATACCGAAAAGACGAAAGTATCTATATGCAGATACATGATGACAGGGATTTGATGTCATCGCTTGACTAATCGTCATATTTTGGCTGGGATGGCTTAAATTCTCTTGTGCAGCCGTGGCAACGTTGGGTGCCTCTTGCAGTACGTGTTATAGGGAAATTTTGGTTAACTTTCATATTGCGTTTTACTCCACCAATTAACATTCGTTATAAATATATAATACCGTATAACGTATAGTGAATGAAGTTTCTTTGTATGTGGTTTATTACGGGATTTTTGAAGCCGCACTTACCCAAAAATTATGTGAGCATTGTTCGAAAAATAATTGTCCGAAAAACATTTATTCGAATTGTAAATTGTTTGAATGAAAATTAATCGAAAGGACAATTATACCTAATAATAATTATTTAAAATATCTATGTTTGAAATATGTATGTGGTCTTGCTTTGAGAGAGTCAATACTGATTTACCTAAAACTAGTAACCCATTTAAAGAATGGTATAAGGCTTTTTTGCAGCAAGTTTGATCCCCCGCATCCCATAATATGGAAATTCTTAGGCACTTTTAAAAGAGAGAACAGGGATTGCAAGTAATTCATATTGCAAAAGTAAAAGCAACTCATCTGACTGACTTGTGATGAGATTATTCTTCGTCCTGATCATATGACTACTCCATAAGAACTGGTGTGGAAATAACAGTGTCTTTATACTGGAAAAGCGTGTTTTCGAAAATATGAATGTTGCTCACACATTCATTTGCCACTAGCGAAAACGCTGTTGGTAAAATTACTTAAGCCTTTTCGTGTGTCTGCAGAGCGTGACCCAAGACATTCAAAAATGAAGGTAAAGCAAAATACAAGTATTATATATATATATATATATATATATATATATATATAGCTGGAGGGAGAGGAAGAGGATTCTTCATACCTTTCCCAAGGGTATTAGCCCGTAAGTGAATGTAATGGATTCGACTGGAATTCGAACTCGGCTCGGCGATTCCTCAATCCAAGCCGCTATCCATTACCCCACCGTGCCGCCATCCAGCTATGGGTAAAATAGCAGGACAGACTGGGTTCTATAGCCTTGGATGGCAACTGGTCTAGGAGAAGTACAACTCTGAATTCAAAACCTTGTGCACCAGGTCTCTGTATTCGTCCCTTCAAAAAGTGTGGATGGTCCTGCACGAGGCCTTCACCACTATAACCAAATCTCATGTGCCGGTGTCGGACTGTCGGTTTCCTGGAAGCTGATCTGCTTGACGGGAGAGTCGACTATATATATATATCAGGCATATATTATTTTGCATACGGCCGCGCGAATGGTAATAGACTGAGGCTGCACGGCTGTATCAGATTGGGTTTCTCGACTTGAGGAAGCCGAATCATGCAACCTTTGCTACTGTTTATCGTCGCGTGGCTGAGGCAGGATCCGTGGCATGCTATACTATGGACCGAGAAAAATTGTGCAAATGACCCTTGCATGTCGTACATCTCATCGCACTGCATGAAAGGTACTTCAAGAGCAACTCCTGTATCTGTATCATTTGCAGCGTGTGCAGGGTCTTTCGCCCTTTGATCACACACCAAGGGACATTTTTTGCCGATCGTTTATTGCACAAACTCTAAACTTGTAAATCCATTGTTTGTCTCTTCAGTCTTGTTTACGGATGAGGCAACATTTGCAAAAGATGTAATATCAAATTTACACAACCAACATTTATGGGGGGGGGATCGGAATTCACATGTTATGATACAGGCTAGACACCAGCATCATTCTATTATTAATTTGTGAGCTGGAATTATAGGTGACTGTTAGGCAGGTTCGTATGTTTTCTCAGCACGAATTACAGGAGGTATCTACAGGGACTTTATTTCGAACACACTTCCAGACCTGCTAGAGGATGTACTCCTGCTAATAGGAAGACACATGTGGGGCTTTAGTACATTTTTGTCCAATTGTTCCCGATGTACTGGCTGACATCTACCATAAAAGATGGATAGATAGCGGAGGACCGGTTCCATGATCTGCACGTACTCACATACTCAGTCCTTTGGACTTTTATCTGTGTGGCCGCGCAAAAACAAAAACGGCAGACATTAATAATGCAGAGACGCTTCATAAGAGTTTCATGGGCACCTGCGAAGTCATTCGAGACCTTGTGTGAGCATATGAAAGGGTGAATTGATGAGCAGATTTCAACATTGTCATGACAGTTAAATTTTCGCAGCAAATATTTCTTGTAAGGCAATACCCGTGGGTGATTGGTGATTTTTGTTCAACTTGACGTCCATATTTTCTCATTTTCATCTTGCCGTTATGGCCTCCATCTTCTGGTTTTCTCCTTCTATATTTTGGATAGGAGTCATCTCTTTGTTCAAAATTAAATTTAATTCAAAACAAAAGGAAAAAAATCAATTGGTAGGGGTTGTACCTCCCATGGACTTTCTTTGATCAAAATGATATATACTTATCCAAGTAGCCTAGTAAACATTCCTTGTTGAAATTTAAATTTAATGTATATCAACAGGAAAAAAAAATCAGTTCGGGGTGTGGGATGCCCCTCAGGGACCCCTTTTGACCAAAATGAAATATATTTATCCAAGGACCCTGGGAAATGTCATTTCAGAATATATACGGTTCTGTCTCCATAACTTTAAAAAGGGTTCGATAACAAACTTACAGAAGTAATAATATATGCAGTAATATATTTTAAAGTGTACTATATTTATGGGATAATGTGCTCAATATGAGAGATAGAGCGTATGTAAATATAAATATAAAAGTGAACATTGAAGTCAACCCTCAGAGGCGACAGGCTGTTTCATGCTAGATGCAAGCGTCAGGGGCCCTGACGATTGCGTCTAGCATTAATCAGCCTCTCGCCTCTGAGTGTTGACTTCAATGTTCACTTTTATATTTATATATATGTGTGTGCGTATGTGTATGTGTGTGTATGTGTATGTGTGCGCGGATGTGTGTGTGTATGTGTGTGTATTCTTAAAAGTAACGAACATACTCAAACTTGATATTTAAACGAGAACAAGAAAAAGCGAGAATAAATATTCCCAGAACCACTCAGACCATTAGCTGGATTAAAGATGATGGTATAAAAAGTAATGGAAGCTGTATGCAGTTCATCAGAAAGATACCTACATCAAAGATTTCGGCTACTTTAAACTGAATATCCGAGTTTATTCATGTATTGGCGGGGCCAAATGTTAGTTCCGATCACACCAACGTCACTCCATTTTTTTATGACACCAATTCCTCAGTGACATAAACATAAATAGACATAATATGTCTATATTATTCACTGGAACATGTTTGAATATATACATACATACATATATATATATATATGTGTGTGTGTGTGTATGTATATGTATGTGTGTGTGTGTGAGAGAGAGAAAATAACATACTTGTAACTTAGAATGCCTAAACCTGTAAGTTTATATCACGTTAAACCGTGATCTTACTGTAGTCACGATTAACGTTTGCATTTTCAACGTGGTCCCACGCTTTGAAAGTCGACTGGTTCTCAAGTTCACTTTAGATCTCAACACGTATGTGCAATCCATTGCTAAAGACGCCGGAAGAATTCTGTCATTCGTTGTCAGACGAAAAAATGGAGTCTAGCTGCCATATATTCGGTGGAGCGGCTTAATCCTTATTATCAAGTCTTCAAAATAGTTCACGCTGTTTTCTGAACGGATGGCGTATTATCCATTTAATATGCTCTTCCTCCCCCCCCACAGACGCAGCGTCGAACGCCGAATTCTAACATAATCTTTAGTTCCACCAATTCAGACCATGACAACTAAGACAGCCATGCTATATCCAAGGAGTCAAATCACCCTCATTTCCCGTGTTTTATAATTTTGAAGAGAAACTTTCATTCAGATTAATTATTCCCAAGATCTTTGTAGAAAAAACTTCCACGTGGATGCTTTCCCTGAAAAATACAATGAATCTTTACTTTCTACTATTTCCCCTTAGAATCCTTCCATGCGCCTCAAACGGCTGCCATCTACTTTGAGTGCCTCTTAAACCTTGATGTAGATGAAGTAAAAAAAAAATTATTTATAGAGTAGATAAATGTGATGAAATCATTTCTGGAATGTTAATTAGAAAGTAAATGAAGAAAATTTTCTATGGGTCAAATAGTTTTGCATTCAAGTTCACACACACATATACGCATATACATATATATATATATGTGTGTGTGTGTGTATGTGTGTGTGCATTTATATATACATATATATATGACATGATATATATATATATATATATATTATAAACAAAAACATATATATATATATATATATATATATGTACGAATAGACATTTCTACATTCACACACAACACATGCACTTCCACAAAGACGTAAGTCGAAAAGAAGCACATAACGATAGAGAAGATCCCCTCAAGTCAACTTGCTAAACTTAGGCAATAGTCAGGAGGTCATACGATCAGAAAGTAGCTGTCACTCACAGTAAAGCTTAAGTCCAGACTGAGGTGAGAGCAGATATGGCCGGGCTGCCCACTGGACAAGGAGATAGAAGAATCAAACGCATCAAAGACATAAGAAAACATGAAGTCTATCGAACGATGGGGGTTTGGAGAAACGGTTGGGATTGGAAAGTCTGAGCCATCTGGCAAATGCCCATGGTGAGTGGACCTCTTCAGGAAGCTACTTGCTTAGGGAAAGCATGTGTGGGGCAGGAGATGATTTCAACGGGAATGATGATGATGATGATGGCGGAATGGTGATCATGGCGATTGCAACTGAATTAGTGTTTTGAGGGGTGATGAGCCGATGGGGCTGCTGTTGGATAGTGACGGTTGGTGTTTGTATGTGCATTCAGGTCAAAGAATGGAGGAAAGTCTAAGAGTGAGGATATCGTTATAGGAGAGCGTGGCGAGAGAGGAAAGGAAAAAGTAAAAAGAAATCAAAGTCGGAAGGCAAATGAAAAGTTGAAAATGGTTGAAAACTGATACAAACGGGAAAAAAGTTGATGTTGGTAAGAATGAAAAGATTTAAAAAAAAAATAGTAAGAAAAAATGAATGGAAGTTGAAAATAACAAAATAAAAAATGTAAACGAGGCTAAAATAAAGGCCAGACAAATAAAATGAAAAAAAAAAAAAGGTAAAATGATGAAGAAAGTAAAGAAGGACGAATGAAAGAAATGAAAATAAATCTATAAGAGATGAAGAGGGAAAAATAATGAATAAAAAAAAGATTAATTTTTAGTATTATAAAGAAAGAAAGAGATAAAATCGTGGAATGAAGAAAGAAAGAAAGAAAGAAACAAACAAACAAACAAACAAACAAACAAAATGTCAGTCGTTAAAAAGGAAATACGCTAAAAAATAGAAAGAAAGATAGAAAGAAAAATGAGAGAAAGAAAGCAGGAAGGAAAGAAGGAAATCAAACAAGAAAGAAAGCAAACAAAAAAGAAAGAAAGAAAATGGTAGTCAAAATAGGAAGAAAAACGTAAGTCAAGATAGAAAGAAAAAAGAAAATAAGGAAGAAAGAAGTCCTAGAAAAATAAAAAAGCTAATGAAAGATAAAATCTAATAAAAATAAATTAGAAAAAGAAAATTTTCTTGTAAGAATTAAATTGAAACTGCACGAGATCAAAAACAATCCGTTAGAAACAAACCAACGATTAATGGCGTTTGAGGTGTGCACGCTAATCACGTCTCAACGACTGCAACAAAATAATACTCAATAGAATGTAATCGCGCTAAATTTTTCTATAGACTCCAGTAGTCAACTTGAAAACAGAAAGGACAAAGAATAAACGTCAAATATAAATATAACACTTAAACTACGAATTAATTAAATTATTAATTAATAATACTAATTAATACATGATTTAAGGAATATATTACTTACTATTTACGCTCTAAGGATACCTTTATGTCTTTGAGAAGAATCAGGAGCATTAAAATTCCTCTATCCCGAACTACTGATATTTTCCGAACTAAAAAGCATAAACAAGCTCAGTAGTGGATAAAAAGTTTAGAAAATATTCCAGTTACAGGTTTCTTAAAACGAATATCAAAGGAAGGCAGTTTTATCCATGGGATATGACTTGCTTCCAAAAAGTCATGATTTCCCATGTCACGGCGAACATTTCACATGTCGCTAGAATTTACGCCAACACTGAAAAAAATATTTCATACTTTTTTCTTTCTCTTAGAAAGCCATTTCACGTCTCAAGTTTTCCACAAATTGGGTAGCAAATTTGAACTAGGTAAATATATTATTGTTATTGTTGAATGATTACGTAAAAAACGACCAAACATTATCGTTTCTTATAAGATTTCGGTCTATATATGTAGTCCTTTCACATTTAAAGCAACATTTATGGAATCAAGGAGATAGATAGATAGATAGATAGATAGATAGATAGATAAGTATGTGGTTCTACAGAAAAATGCTAATAATATCAAAGGACGAAAATGTGGGCATCGAAGTTTTTTTAATGAAATGAAAAAAAGTTAAGTTAAATTGGAAAGAAATGAATATTTGTGTTTAGAATTAGAAAGAGTCATTTGAAATGGGAGACATAATGAGGAAATAAGCCTTAGAGAATTTGACACTGGCAGGACATATCGAAGCTAATAAAAGAGGAAGACAGCGAATAACCTGTCTAACGAACTTGTACAAATGGATGGCAGAACGGAACTTATAGGAATAATCAGGGGACACACACTACTTAGAGCTACAAAGAATAGAAAGTCGTGGAGAGCCATGATCACCCATTTTTTGAACGCACACAACACATAAAAGAAAAATAAATAGATCTTAAAAGAATGAGAGAGATAGCATGGTTACAAAGAAATGGAGAATTTCGTTAAAACTTAAGGAAGTAAATCAACAAATAAAGAGAAAAAAAATCATGTTTGTTTACTAAGCAGAGTGTTGTCTGGTACAAGGATACAATATCTGGGTACTCGATGAGGACAGTATTCACTGCACGAGCGCGTAGTCTACCATATCAACTCTCTATCCTTTGCACTATGTTTATTACCCTATGTTAAGTAATCAAGACTTGATCTAGTGCAAGTTCATAGCATTGGGTTACCCAATGAGAATAGAATTTACAATACTTGGTTTACAAGGCCGACATACTAAGCATCATTAAAGTTAGCTATTTTTTTAAATGTAGGTCGTGACATCAGAGCACCCATCGACAATCAGACTCGCTGCAAAGTTCTTTCTAACCAGTGGCTAACAGAAGATGGATATAATTATTTACTAAGCACTTTTAAGACTAGAAGAAAGACGGTCGAGATGGCTCATTGAAAACTGAGCTGACTCCACTAAAATGAGTCTTTAAAAAACGGAGCTTGTTAGCAATAGTTCTACGACGATGGACCAACTCGGAAAAATAAACTTTGCCGACAAATAAGCTTCGGACGTATATATTCAAACTGGTTACTCAGGATTTGACAAAAATATGGATATACGACTTTTTTTTATATGCCATGTCACTTCACGACAATTTCCTATATTTTGTAGCCGTAAACAATGTTTGTTCCCTTAGTAAAACTCCTAGTCCCTATTCTGTTACCCATATACACAAGCTCGTTAGGTAGGATACACGCTGTTTGCTCCCACTTCCGCCAGTCTTGACATCACTATGTCCCGTGAGTGTTAATTTCTCGAAACCTTCTTTCCTCGTCAATGAATTTCAACTGTCTCTTCATGATCCTAAGTACACGTCTGTTTTTTGTTTCCATTTTCTGTAAAACTTCCATGTCTCTCGAATATTCCGTCCAACAATATTTTCAATATCCTTCTCTAGAGTCGCGTCTTCAGTGTTCAATTGCCCAGCATCTGCTGCTAGACAGAAGAACTGATACTACATAGCAGTTTAGCACTCTTTTCGTTATTACTGTTTCAAAAGATATTTTCTTTTTTCTTAATGTTTAGCTTCTAGAAGGCACCTTTATCAATTCCAGTACGTGTGTGTCATTTTCAGGTTTAAATAATTTCCCGTTTAATTAAAAAAAATAGAATAGCCTTCTAATCAAAACAATAACAATAAAGAGACTAGTCGGAAAAAATGAAAACAAATATACTGTAGAAAAGATATTAATTGATTAAATTAACTTTATAATATCAAAAGATAACGTTGTTTATAAATCTTCATTTGGTTAAATGTAATCCAAATGCTAGTTTATTACTTAACGTGATCAACTAGATTACGTAGTTAATTACTTAACATGGTTAACGAGATTATCTAGTTTATTACTTAACATGATCAACTAGATTTCTTAGTTTATTACTTAACATGATTAACGAAATTACCAAGTTTATCACTTAACTTGATGACTTGATTGTCTAGTTTTTAATACAGAAATATATACACGAACGTCTAAAATCAAACTTGAAAAAAAATTCTTTCGTGTTCGTTTTGTTTCTAACTTGCTCCAATGTCCTTATTGCTTTTGCCAAATCTTAGCAACCCACGCGAAACAAGGGCAATCATCCTTTTCCGTTTCACGCAAATATTAAATAAACGATGAAAAGAAATTAAATAAAGGTAATTTAGCGATTGGCAGGTAATTCCTGGGTAGGATAATTTTAAAAGAAACAATTAATCAGCGGATCAGAGGTCAGATTTCCTGGACTGGCGTAACCTTTGGCATTTTTTCAGGAAAGAGTCGATGATAATAATTATCACTCGTCATTTCGCTTACAACAAACTATTGGGGCCAGCAACAATTATTTGCAATTAGCGTTGTCTTAACACTCAGTCATCTTGTGCAAAGAGCGAACACGCAGCTTTGATAAAATGAAATGATTTGGCTCCCTGCAACATTCGATAAAAGATCTTTCCAAAGAAATCGTTTTTTGTTTTTTGTTTTTTTGTTACTATAAATTTTTAGTAAGTTACAGACAGACATTTTGTTTTGTAAAATTGTACAGAGTTGAACGACTGGCCTTCCATTTACTCTAGAGATATTAACTTCGTCTGTGACAAAACCACCTAGACGGACAATCAGTGATGCTCAATCACACCTCACAAGCAGTAATCCGCATAGGTCACTTTTTACACTATTGTTCACCCAAGGCCCAAGAGCCACTCAAGTCAGAGGGTTAGTAAATATTGCTGCTTTATGTAAGTAATAGGAACAGGTAACTAATGCAGATTATAAGGATAAATAGGATAGACAAGAGTTAATTCATTGATTCGTTTTCTACGGCTTATCAGCATTTTAAGCATTTTTAAATTTTAAGAATTGGTGGGGGCAAGATAATAGTATAATTACTAAAACAAGTTTTCCTAATTAACCCATAGCTGGGGAGACAAGTTGTGGATTCCTATTATTACAAAGGTTATTTGAGCATAAGTGAATATAATGAAGCCAACTGAAATTGGAACTCGGCTCTCCGATTAACAATTCTGAGCCATTATCCATTGCCTTACTCGCACATCCAAGAGAGCACCTGTTCTCTCAATAAAGAGAATAAGATTGTAGCAATCGAGGAATAATCCTCACTGGAGTCTGTTACACAAAGCAACGGCTCTTCAAAAGAAGCTGTTCGAAAGGAACTTCCTCATTACCAGTGGAATGCGAAGGGAAAGAGAATGATTCGACCCTGCATACGTGACATAGCATGTTTTAGCTGTCTGAACAGATGGAACTCAGGAATATCAGTCAGTCATGTGCCATGCGTGATACATGCTTAGCCGATCATGTATCTTTCGATACATGACTGACAAGGAAGTTTTTCCCCGCAGTAGGTTGCCATATCTTTCTGCGGTAAACCAGTCGCCATGCAAGGCTATAGAACCCGATCTGTTCTGCTATTTACCCATAGCTGGGAGGAGAAGAATAGGATTCATACCTTTCCCAAGGGTATTAGAACGTAAGTGAATGTAATGGATTCGACTGGAATCCCGCAATACGAGCCGCTATCCATGACTACACTGTGCTCAGGAATGTATTTGGTCAGAATATTGATCATGGAAATAGCTATATAGTGGCGAGAGGTTTGCGACGTTTCGTCTGTGGGGAAACGGGTTGTAGGATGGGATATACTTCAGCACCCACAAAGCCTCGTAGACACTTTTGGATTTTTGTCAATGTGGAAAGTGAAAGGTGAGAACTGGTCAGCTCCAGACCCTATGTGGCAGCAATTCTCTATGCATTTTATTTTGAAACCTGTGCTTATCTCTCTCTCTCTCTCTCTCTCTCTCTCTCTCTCTCTCTCTATATATATATAGATAGATAGATAGATAGATAGATAGATAGATAGATAGATAGATAGATAGATATCCAGATAAATATAAGCACAGCTTCAAAATAATATATATATATAAGCATTTCACCCCAAGCAAGGCGGGAGTGCCACCAGCACGCAAGGTATTACAGAGAGTGAGAGCATGAGTAAAGAGGGGTGTTTGCAAAAAGGATATAGAGAAGGACGAGGATCAGGGTCAAGGTATCAGAAGATGTCGATTGACATTACCTTTGAATATATGAAGATTATAGCTATCAGGGAATCAAGTAAGGGGAAAGGAATCCCACTGTCGGGAAGTGCGAGAGAAGAAGCTTTTGGAGTAGAAAAGACAGTTACATTTAATCGTTTTGACAGTGAAAGGGTGGGACCAACATGCCAACCTAGTAGCACGCTGAAATTCATGCAGTTGGGGTACCAGTGACAGTAACTCATCAGAGCAGTTGCCATGAAAATATTTTTAGAAAAGACAGTGGAAAGCCATATCACGTCTGTGAGAAAGTAACTGTAGACGAGATGCCAGATCAGGACGTATCGCATTGTATATCCGTTTCTCGATTTTGTCGAGGACCTCGAGAGGAACAGCGGGGGTACCAGACCATATAAGGTAAAAGTTTTCAATGCAAAGACGAATGGCAGATTTGTAGATATGAAGGATGAACCCAGTTGAGAAAAACCTTCTGGTGCAAATCAGAGAACCATCTTTATATGTGATTCTTTACTTTAATCTCCTGTTTACGTTTAATATTTAATAAATTAAAGCACATATTCAGGTGTTTTTTAATTCTCTGCCAGTGTATATACAAGGGAAAATAAGCATTCATCATACACTACAAAGACAGCTCCTTGCATTATTTACTTACACATATATTAAGTATTTACGTGCAAATTAGGAAATATTTTTTTTCATTTTTGCAAGAGCTATATTCTACGGTTCCACCAGTTCAGGCATTTACTAGCTAGGAAACACTATGCTACGTCAACGGAGTCAAATCACCAAGATTTCCCACGTATTCCATTTGTAAGGAGTAAGTTCCAGACATCATTTTTCCTTGAGAATTGCTACTCTGTAAAACAAACACTCGTGGGGGGTTCTTAATCTTAACTCCTTCAATTTAAGTGCTAATCGTTATCTATCCTCCTTATCTTCATAATCTTCCTTCCACCCGTTCTTATGTTCATAATGCACACTTTATACAGTAATCCCCTACAAAGAAAATGGGTATATAAAAAAACAATAGTATATATCCGCAAAATTGGAAAGGTAGGTATCCTTTCCTTCTTGCACCAACTGTGGATAAATAGCAAGACAGACTGAGTCCTATAGGCTTATAGGGCAACTGGTCTAGGAGAAGGACAACTCTGAATTCAAAGCTGGATAGGTTAAATAGCCTCACCAACCTGCAATTCGCCAAACAAAGCTGCATCCTTGAAGACATGGCCACCTAGAAGGGATACTCCATCAGGTGTGAGTAGGCTCTGGATCTGGATTTGACTTTTATAAAGTTATTAAATATAAGAGGTCTTTCTGAAATTAACGGTAGTGTGTGAGCTGTTGACAAAATAGGAATTAGGGCTGTGTTATTTAACATATTTTGGGTGTACATAAGTCTAATCTTAGCTTTCTGCAACCATTGCATTTTTTTTCACATACGAGAGTTGTGGCAGGGCAAATCAGGCTGTTTCACCACGATGATGCACTTACTTACGGTGCCTATATTTAATAAACAATAAAATCCAAAATCACCTCATATGGGTATTAGGTCATTTCGGTAGACGAAGATATCGATCGTCTGCCTTATCAACCCGGTTTGGATAAGCCATAGGACAGATATCTTTGTCTGCTGAAATAGGCTATTTCCAATATGAGGTGATTTGGGATTTTATTGTTTATTAAATATATTGTTCTGTAATAATAAATACATTGAGCTCTTTTTGTGGATCAGTTTTAATATTTTATATTACTAGATCCACTAGGATTATATACCAATTGATTTGTTACCTTTACTATATATATATATATATATATATATATATATATATATATATATATATATATATATATACTATATTTATGGGTTAATTGCTAAATATTAAGGATAGAGAGCATTTAAATATAAAAAGACATTGAGGTTACCACCAAGCGGCGACATTCTGTTTCATGCATTAAAGCAATCGTCAGGCCTGACGACTGCGTTTAAGCATAAAACAGACTGTCACTGTTGGGTGTTTAACTCAATGTCCATTTTTATATTTAGATTTATTTGTGTGTGTGTATGTATGTATGTGTAATATCATAAATCCGTTTACTAACAACTCTACGCTGCTTTCAACGGATTTACAACTACACCCTATCGAAATAAATTATAAATGAAAAATATTAAATACTAGAAAAATGCAGACATATTGATAAATAATATTTGTTCTATAAATACACAATAAAAATTATTAAGAATTTATCGAACATTTATAATTCATCCATTTTTTTTTATTTTTACGTATTTATTTACTTAACTACCCAACACATATAATATAAATTACAATCCTTTACACGAAAGCGACAATGATATTAAAATATTATGATAAAATAAATATAATTGAAACCCTTAAATAAGTCAAGTATATTTCATAAGCTATAAACAGAACTCTTTACTTACATCAATGACTTGATCTCGACGAAGCAAGCGAACATTTTCAAAAATCGAAATTGCACCAACTGCTGGTCCGCCATTAGCCTAATTCATCACAACTTTCGTCCTGGGTAAGACGTTAAACTACGTCCATCAGCAAGGCCTCTGATCAGGAGGTTCTGAAGAGCGTGGAACCACCTTTTAATTGTTGGTGTTCTCAGGTCCACCCTGACCCGGGGTGGTAGCACCTGTTAGGGTCCCAGCTATGGGCAAATAGTTAACTATTACCGGCAATACTTTTTTGAAAAATAATTATTACCAGCAATACAATTTTGAAGGAAATATATTAACAGAAAAAGATTTTTGACAAAACAAAATATTACCAGCAATAATTAAATGTTGTCGGCATTAAATAACCCATTGAGGTTGATATGCCGTAAAACAAAATAAATCAAACCAATCTAAACCAAAGAATACATATTATATTCCTATGAATCTATCCTGAAAATTTTGTCGGCATTAAATAACCCATTGAGGTTGATATGCCGTAAAAGAAAATAAACCAAACCAATCTAAACCAAAGAATACATATTCTATTCATACGAATCTATCCTAAAAATGTTGTCGGCATTAAATAATCCATTGAGGTTGATATACCGTAAAAGAAAATAAACCAAACGAAAACATTGCAACTTTGTGGAATCTGACCAGAGCACTATTGCCGAAGTTGACTGCAATCAACTGGATGAAATGCATATTCAATCAATGCGACTGTTACTGGCTAATCATCGAGGTTCAATTGCGCTTCATGCCTATTCTGGACCACATGTTGCTTGGCTGGAAGGTTACAGAAAGCCACCGACTTGGAATACGACACTTTGCCACATCCACCATATTCCCCTGATCTCGCGTCCATTGGCTAACAAATTTTTACGCCAAAAAAACTCGTTACAAACATGCAGAAATTGCATTCAAAGATTTACTGTCGTCAAATTTTGTCGTTAAGGAATAAATAACCTTGTAACTCAATGACAGACATGTATAGGTATTGGGGTTTCCTATTTTGAGTGATTTAAACACTGTTTAATATATGAATGCACTTACATATGTGCACGTAATCACACACGCATACATATATACTTACATAAAGAGAGAGTGTGTGTGTGTATGTGAGAGAGAGAGAGAGATGTGACAGGCGCGTGACCGAATGCTTATAATGTTCCCTTTCCAGTCATGAGACCCGGTTTCGAATATAATCGTGGTCTAATCAACCTCGATTAAATCAGAACAATCATATTTTTAATGGGCAAGTAGAGAATCAATTTTGCAGACTCCACCATAATCTCAAGAATAAAGACCAAATTAAATTTGAAACCGTTTTCAGACGACGAAGTAAAAGTAAAATGGCCGATTTGATCTACAGGAAATGAGGTAATTCTCGAAATGGATTAGCTTCGCGTGATTTACTCTTGGCAAACGGAGTGAAGACATCGTCTATTGCAACACATAAATTGTACCATTTTAAGTAAAACTCAAATCTTGAACGACAAGAAGGTAACCTCGCTGTTCTCGGTCTGGGTAGGTAATCACAGCATGCAGAACCTTTGGAAAGTGCTTGGAAACCATGCAACAGGATAATCCAAGCCTTGTGAGCTGTTCAGTGTTGGTGCTAGCACGAAGTCACAAGTCATCGTGACCGAGATGTTGATTGTACTGGCGAGTTCGATCCTCGAGGATTTCCCTGTGACTTGAGGCATTGTGCCATATCAAAGCCAAGCTTATTTATTAAGGTCAAAAAGTGAGCTCGATCTTACCACGTGATCAATTATCTCAACATTATGTCACATCTGAGCTATGTTCAGTAAAGTGCTATGTACTTGGATAGGGACACTATGTATGATTTATCCCGCTAGCGGAAGTTCCTAATGTTAATCCATTCTGATCTCGGTGTAAAGAGCTAATATCAGTAATTTTCTTTCTAAATAAAAAATAAATTCACTGTCTTCGGGAATCTCTCGACACAGTTAATGTTTCTGTTGAAGGAAATAGAGATATTTTGCTCTTCTTTAAAGAATTCAGAAGAATGTAGGCCATTTACATGAGAACTCGTACGACGATGGTGCCTTCTAAGTTAACCAATAAGAAGCATCTATTTCGTTTTCAACTTTTTAGCACAGAAACCATTGCTGGGCCACTGTAAAGGTTCAGATCATCACAATAGGAGACCAACACCTGTTCCATGCTAACCATATTTCTTGCCTCACCAATGAAGAATTTAATATTTGGAAACGGAATCGAATCATCTGTTTCTCTTCTCAACAACTTTCCAATTCGATTTCTCATTTCCAGTCGAATGTGTCGTTCAAGATTTGAGTCCTCACCTAAAAATGGTTTTCTACTTAAAATGGTACAATTTATGCGTTGCAAT